CGAGTTTGTGACGTTGTTGCATTGTTGGATGGCAGGCATAGGTGATGAAGTCAGTTCAATTTCGACTTATTTTATATTGAGAAATTAAAATTATGTATCGTGGACTTGTTTATATTTTCAAATTTAAATTATTAGTAAAAATAAATAAATAATTATGTGCGCAAGAGGGCTATGGACTGTTTGAGCTATCAAACCGAAACCAATCAAATCCAAGGCGAAATCGAACTGTTTCAAATCGAACCGAAACTAAACTGAACTAAAATTTGAAACTGAATGATTTCATTTTTTTTTTTAAATAAAAAAATCGAAACCAATCCAAACTGAAAATTGAAACGTCATCCTTACAAAATATAGGGTGTGTTTGGTTCGCACATAGGAATCGGAATCGGAATGGGTATCAAATATTTGGTAATGGTAATGAGTTTTGGTGAAAGTATTTAACATGTTTGGTAGTAGGGTTGAATGAGAATAGTTACTAATAGTAGTGCTTGAGAATGAAACCCTTATTTTATTTGGGTATGAGTTTTTCAATTGATGAGGTATTTGAAACCCATAGTAGTATTATAAAAACCTATCAACCAAACAACAACATTCACTTTTATATCCAATCCTATGGACAAAATCCACCAACTAAACATACCTATAATACTTATCAAAAAGCCGACCTCATGGTTTCATAAGAGAAATTGTGGTATATGTATAATTTTAATTTTATTAGAACCGACGGACATTTACATAAAAAAGGAACCTAAAACCTCACAAAACACCTGTTCCCAGCTTCCTGCCAGCCACGCTTTTCTTAGGAAAAATCTGGATTCAACTCAACCTCCAACGTCTCTCTTTCTCTATATATCTCTGTGTGTGTGTATATATATATATTCATTCATGTATGTTTACACTATTAAAAAAATATAAGGCATTATCATTTTTACCTCTTCTGTGAAGACTTACTAAACATATTCGCAGAATCTTCTCCCCAATTTCAATCAATTATTATTCTCTCTCTGCTTCTTCCAACAACTTGCTAAAAAGTGAGAAACTAAACAAAAAATTTTCTTTTTTTCTGCCCATAAGACACAGAGAAGTATGTGTATTCAAGACTCAGAGCAAGTCGGTGAGGGGATGGAAAATCTTGATATTTCTGAAACTGAAGAGAATTCCAAGAATTGGGCTTCTTCCCACCCTCCAGCTGAAACTACAACTACCCAGATTCAGACTTCCAGCGTTTCTGCTAAGAGAAATTCATTTCCGGTAGGTATTATTTGAATATTAAAAAAAAAATTGTATTCGATCTGTAGACATATTTCGAATTGTTTAATGTTTATTTCAATATTTGAGGTTGTTATTGTTGTTGCTGATGCTGTTTGCACATCTTAGGGTGTCTGTCTGTGTGTTTCTTGATTTGATGTTCTTGTCAATTTTGGAGTAGGAAGTTGTTTTAAATTTTTCTTCATTAAATTTTTGAAGATCATTTTATTTTATAGTTCTTGTTTCTGGCAGAAATTTTGACCTATGTGTTCTCTGGAGGTCAATTTTCCTGATCTAAAGATGATTTGCATATAGAAGGCTAATTCTCCACTGGAATTATCATAAACAAACTCAAAAAAATAAAAAAACATTTCAAATGGTAGTAGTTGGAATACTTTGTGGTTCTTCAATTATTGATACTGAGCCAATAAAGCTATTCTTTTTTGTTTATATGAAAATATTAATTGTTTGTTTGATGACAGAAAATTGTAATCCAGTTATGATATTTGTAGAGTATTATTAGTGGCTTTTCATCTTTATGAGAACTAATTATAGAGTTTTGACTTGTAATTTTCAAGAAATTTTTTGGGCCTGGATAGGAAAGTTTTTGTTGGATTCTTGTTTTCAAGTTAGATGGTGAAACCATAATTGACATGTTACTGTTGTAGCTATGGCCAAAATTGGAAAACACCTCTGTACTGCTTTCTCCATTTCGAGAAAACTGAACTTCAATTAGACAATCTCGTGTCACTTTCCTGCAATAAGTGATGTAATCAATTGGCGATTTTCTTTTTGTCCTTTGTTTTCGATTGGTTAGAACCTCGAGTCGTTTAGAGTAGCAATGGTCTGTTTGTTTGTTGAACGCTCTGCGAACAAGACTGCCCATCTCATTGTTAGGGAAGCCTTATCTTTGTCAGATCGTATGGAATGGTCCTCCGACCATTCCTTCCCTTCGCTTTGTCATGTACTTGATATTGATTTATTTGTAATGTTTGTAATTCTTGATGTTATTCTAATTTTTGTTTACATTTTCTCGTTTTTCATTCCCAGCTGGACAGCATTTGTGAGGACACAGCTATTGTCGATGGAATGCAGATAATTATGAATAATTTCCTACCTGCCTTAAGGTCAGGAGAGTGGTCAGATATTGGAGGTCGTCATGATATGGAGGATACTCACATCTGTATTACCGACCTAGCTAAAAGTTTTGGTAATGGAATACTCGGCGAGGAAGCTGTCTCCTTCTATGGAGTAAGTTCTTTAACTTACTATACCATCGTCTTCCCTGACGTTGCCCTCCTTTCACTAATGCTACCCAGTTTTGAGACTTTGGATTTATTTAGCTTAACTTTTCAAACTATCATCCCATTCGTTGTAAAGAATGTGACCGATTTTTATTGACCTAACTTTATGTTAAGAATGTGTCTCTGCTAGTCTGCTTGCCCGCACGGGTAGCTCAGTTGGTTCTTGGGTGGTAAATTGTGGGCAAGGACGCAAGATTGAGCCTTGGCAGTACCAGTGTGGGAGTCGGGCACTGGTCCTCCCACTTAATAGGCCACTGAGTCACCGTGATTTACCACCTCCACAGATCCTGTTGGGTTAGCATGTGGGGCCCCCGGGGCGAGGGATTTCGCCTTTTGTGGGCAAGAATGTGTGTGCTTATTATGAATAAATGAATTTGTCAGTAATGGTGACTAGACATTTCTAGATGGGGGTATTTATTGCATTCTACCTTAGGTAAATACAACTATTCAGTTGAATGTCCAATAATGGATGAATTTGCTTTTATTGAAGCGGGTAGTTGACTGGTTAAGTATATTTAAAGTCAGTCTTGTTTTGGATTTGGTTTGCAAATGTCCATTTCAACTTATCAGTTCCATTTATTATCTCTCTTGAAACAAAAGATCATCTGCTTAACATTTTTCAGTTTATGATCATTTGAAGAACTATTTGGTCTTTGTTGCCATATACAACTCCGAAATGGGATAAGTAATATGTTTATGAACTTTCCCCCTATGGGAACTTCTAATAATTTTTTCTAGTTTTTACTAGTAAAATTATAAGCTGATTATGCGGCGGATTTGTTTAACCATTCGATTTATGGTGACGTGCCTGACGAGACAAGTTCTACTGACAGGTCTTTGATGGGCACGGTGGGAAGGGCGCATCACATTTCGTACGTGATCACTTGCCGAGGATTATTGTCGAGGATGCTGATTTTCCGTTGGCGCTTGAAAAGGTCGTCACAAGGTCGTTCATGGAGACCGATGCTGCCTTTGCGAAGTCGTGTTCTCTGGACTCCGCCTTATCCTCTGGCACGACAGCGCTCACTGCAATGATATTTGGAAGGTATAGTACATTACTGCGCTTAAACACACCTTTTAAAACCAGATTGGTTGGCGTGAGTGGCCGTGCACTCTTGTCCCTTAAGAGATGTCGGGAGTTTGAACCCCCTCTCGTATGGAAAAACCAATTTGGCCAGTACTTTGCCTCTTATTTGGGCCGGCCCGGTGCGAACGGGGATTAGTCTGAGTGTAGTACGGGCTTTAAAGGTGCCTCCTACAGTTAGGGTCTGCTCATGACATCTCGTGGCCTGACCAAAAACAAACACACCTTTTATTCTTTTTGAATTTGTATTCACGGGATATGTCATTTCTTACAGATCATTGCTCGTGGCAAATGCTGGGGATTGCAGGGCTGTGCTATCTAGACGTGGACTGGCGATAGAAATGTCGAAGGATCATAGGCCGTGCTGTTCTAACGAAAGGACACGGATTGAGTCCCTAGGCGGATTCGTAGACGATGGGTACTTGAATGGGCAGTTGGGCGTGACCCGGGCTTTAGGCGACTGGCATATCAAAGGACTAAAGGAGGGCGACAACAGTGGGCCGTTAAGCGCTGAGCCTGAACTAAAACTGATAACACTAACGAAAGAGGACGAGTTCTTGATAATCGGGAGCGATGGGATATGGGATGTTTTCAGGAGCCAAAACGCGGTGGACTTTGCGAGGAGGAGATTGCAGGAGCACAATAACGTGAAACTATGCTGCAAGGAGATAGTGGACGAGGCAAAAAAGCGCGGGGCAATAGACAACTTGACGGCAGTTATAGTGTGTTTTCACCCCGAACCGCCCCCTCCAATCGGCACTGTCCCAAGAACAAGGGTCCGGAGGAGTATCTCTGCAGAAGGGTTGCAGAATCTCAGAAGTTTTCTTGAAGGATAATAAAACTAAAACTGCACCCTTTATTGATTCAAAAATTTAATTTTTTTTTTGACAGGCTATATATGAGAATTGAAAATTATTGCAGAAGACTATTCTGAGGATATCAACAGAAAGACAAAAGGAATTGAAGAGACCAAACTGGATTTATTTGCAGTGTACAATAATTTTTCTATTACAACAATGATAATGACGACAAGTGATATTCTTGTGGAACCTTGACACCTTGTACATATGTCACAGATTATGTTTTGTATTATGTAAACTGTAAAGAATCCATTTTATTACTATTTCTGTATGTCTCACGTCTATGCTTCATCTGAACTAATAGTTGGATTGCATATATATATTGGAGCCATATTAAGTTAAAGCATGTGCTCAATCTCCTAAGCATACTTGGATTGCATATATATATATATATATTATATTATATGGTCGACAAGAACAATGCTGATGTAGCTGATACTTAGATTGCACATTTATGTTTATATGCTTAACAAGAACAACAATGCGGATTTTTTACGTGTTAGAAACTCGAAACTTAAAAGGGTACCATATACATACATTATTATGATAACAAAGAGGATTTAGTAGGATACATCATACATTAAAGCAAACAAATTAAGAGACTTCGAAATTTCACTCAAATCCCTAAGCATTTTCCCTACGGACCTCTTCTTCTTCCTCTGGTATGAAGGCATTTTGGAGTTTGAAAAATTTGCGGATCTCCTCTGGTGTCTTCCCCTTGATCATATCAGCAACAATTAGACAGGTAAGATCGAGCAAGCTCTTGATGTTGAGGAAATTAGCAGCCAGGATGAGATCAAACAGCGTTTCCTGGTCAACTTTGAAGAAATCAGCATCGAAGGCCTTGAGATCGTCGGAATCAATGGTCCCCTTCGCGGCGGCCTCGACGTGGCGTTTGCAGTACTCTATAACCATGCCCAAGATCTTGCTAGTTACCTCGGGGACGGGGATGGTGATGGTGGTGTCATCGTTGTCCACAATCATGTACTTGAGCATCTGCGACTCGAGCGCCACCGCCTCCTCCACCTGGAAGATCTCCCCGTCGGAACTCTTCAAAATGATCGTCTTTGAGGAAGACATCGGAATTTCGTAAGATGAAATTTGGGGAAAACCCAAGGGAATGTAAAGCAAAAAGACGATACAATCTATTATTCTCTTCTCTTGATTTGGTGAATTGAGTTTCTTCAGAGGACTGAGTCAAGACTCAAGACCATGACACGCCTAATCTGACAACTTTTTAAGAGGAGAGGACGATGTGTCCAAAGTTCATTGGTGGTTAAAAAACAAAAGAGTTTTAGAGCGGTGGAGGGTTATTTTGTGGTTTTTGAGGAGTTTTTATAAATGTGATTAGGAAAGATTATAAAAGAGAGAAAATAAAATTGATTAAAAAAAGAGAGGATGTTAGCACGCTTGACGTGCCCAACGATCACGTGCAGTGTACACGCCCGCTGAGGCACTTGTGACCATCACGCATAGCGCGAGAGGCTGGGAGCTTTCTTCCGTGGGGCCCATATTTCTGCAAATAACTCCACTCTTACATAAGGTTGATTGTTTAACCAAGTCAAACAATTAATAGTGGTCAAATAAATTAATATTAACTAATAAGCTAACTATTTTACAAATCAGGGTCAAAATGAAAAGACCAAACTGGATTTATTTGCAATGTACAATAATAAATTGTCTACTACTACATATGTCACAGATTTTGTTTTGTATTGTGTAAACTATAAAGCATCCATTTTTTTTGTCAGATCATGAGGTGCCCTAAGCATGTTCTAACTGGGCAAAGTGCTAGCCAGATTGATTTTTCCATACAAGAAGGATTTAAATTCCCGACTTCTCTTAAGGGATGACCACTCACGGCAACCAAACTAGTTAAAACATCAATTTTATTACCAAATAGTTGATACGGCTTCCATTGGGGAGGGGGGGGGGGTATGGTGGAGGATGAATTTTTTTTTTTTTTTTTTTTTTTGAGCAAAGAAACAAAACCATTCATTAAAACAAATGCGCAATACAATGAGGCGGGTGGTCATTCCACACACCGAGGACAGATAACGAAACAGTCGCCCTTGCCAACGCGTGGGCTACATGGTTCCCTGACCTACGAACATGACGAACGCGAACGTTCCCCATATCCCTAGCAATGGATTGACATTGCTTTACAATTAATCCAACATATGACAAATCTAATAACTGGGAATTAAAACTCGTGCAAAAGGATTGGCAATCGGACTCGATTAAAACCTCCTGGATGGACCTGCTCTTAAGCCACAGTAGCATTTCTCTCACCGCCAACGACTCTGCCAAATACGGAATTGGCTCACAAGAAAGGTTAGCACTGCATGCAGCAACGAATTGTCCGGCATAGTCACGAATGACTGCTCCGTAGCCTACAACATTCTCCGCCATAGCCGCATCCACGTTGCAGTGTAACACGAACTCCGATCGTCCCGTCGAAAATTGAGCAGGATGCGTAAGATGCCTGCTGTTGCGAGAACTTGGCTTGACATAAACCTCAGTCCAAAGCGTGACCAGATCCTTAGCGTCGTTTCGAAGCTTCGAAAGGGGCCATACAGTGTCGTTCCAGACCCTCTCGTTCCTCGCAAGCCAAATGACCCATAGACATGCAGCTATATTTAACGCATGGGTAGGCGTACTTCGCAGATTAGCTTCCACCATGCCAATAAACGAGTCACCAATTTCGACAAGGGTAGAACTCCATACCTGAATAGCCACCGGGCAGTCGTAGAACAAATGCGAAGTAGACTCATTGTCGGCGTTGCAGAACGGACATCCGCCTCCAACCCACACCCCTCGACTTTGCAAGTTCACATGAACGGAAGTAGATTCGAGATGCAGCGCCATAGAAAATTCCTGATCTTCGGCGGAACAGGCAATGTCCATAGTCTTTTCCATTCACCAAAGTTTCGACCATAGTCTGCATGTAAAAGGTGATTAGTGCGTAAATGGTATCCCTGCTTCACGGTGTAGAGACCACGTGGATCACCCCTCCAACACCAAGCGTCTGCATGTGAATGAGAAATTGGAGTGCACAAAATTCTTTGGACATCTCTGTCGCTGAATAAATCACGCAGAAGCTCTACATCCCAACTGCCATCTTCTTTCAACAGATTGCTCACAGTGGCTGTACGCAACTGCTCAATACAAGGCGTGTGTATAACGGGATCACCTGAGTCCATCAGCCATGGCCAGCCCCAAACCAGAGTATCTCGTCCATCTCCCACCCTCCGAATTACTCCCTGTTGTAGGATGTCTTGCCCCTCCAAAATGCTCCGCCAAAGGAAGCTCGGGTTGTGGCCCAATTTCGCGTCCAGAAAACAACCTGTAGGATAGTAGCGTGCTTTGAGAAGTCTGGCAACCAATGAATGTGGATTTGTCAATAGCCGCCATCCCTGCTTTGCTAAGAGAGCGATATTAAAGTCGTGGATTCGCTTGAACCCCAACCCGCCATTACACTTCGGGACCGCCAGTCGAGTCCAGCTCATCCAGTGAATACCTTTGTTGCCCTGTCCACCACCCGACCACCAAAAATGATTCATCAACTTCTCAATTGCATCACAAACACCCAACGGAAGAAGAAAAACAGACATTGCAAAAATAGGCATTGCTTGGGCCACGCTTTTTAGAAGAACTTCTTTGCCTGCTTTGCTTAAAAATTTCTTCTGCCACGAGCTGATCCTGTCACGAACCCTTTGTTCAATATAGCGAAACACCTCAGTTTTATTTCGCCCGAGGAATGACGGGAGTCCCAAATACCTTCCAAAGTCATTTGTCTGCCTCACTCCAAAAATTCTTGCCACATGAGATCTCACGTCTGTCCCAGTATTTTTGCTAAAGAGGATATTTGACTTATCAAAGTTGATAAGTTGGCCTGAGGCAGCACAGTACCGGTCCAAACAAGATTTCACAATTTGTGCTTCACAGTCCTTTGCTTTGAAGAACAAAAGACTGTCGTCTGCGAAAAACAGGTGCGAGACCGACGGGGCCCCTCTCGCAATTCTGACCCCGTGAATATTACCCCCGGCTTCCTGGTGATGCAACATTAAAGATAGACATTCGGCGCAGACAATAAAGAGGTACGACGATATAGGGTCCCCTTGCCTGATTCCTCTCGAAGGTGTTACAGCACCTGCAACTTCCCCATTAATCATAATATTATACCTGACCGAATTGACACACAATAACACTAAGTTAACCCACACACGGGAAAAACCTAGAGCTATGAGCATACCCTCCAGAAAGCCCCATTCCATGCGGTCGTAAGCCTTGGCCATGTCAAGCTTCAACGCCGCCCATCCGTCCTTCCCCGCGTTCTTTCTTCTTAGGTAGTGTCCTACCTCTCCCGCCACGATAATGTTATCCGTGATCAACCTATTTGGGACAAAAGCGCTTTGAGACGGCGAGATAACCACGTCAAGAACAACCTTAAAACGGTTTGCCAACACCTTGGCCACCACTTTGTATGCAACATTGCACAAAGCGATTGGTCTCAAATCCGAGACCGTTTCAGGGATTTTCTTTTTTGGAATTAAGACTATGTTTGCGTCATTCAGACCGGAAGGTAACTCACAATTTGTGATACAATCACTAACAAACCGTGTGAGATCTTCCCCCACAATGGACCAGAAAGACTGGTAAAAACCCGGTGTCATCCCATCTGGGCCCGGTGACTTATCCGGTGACATCGAAAAAAGGGCTTGCTGCACCTCATCCGGCTCAATCGGCCGTAGAAGCTCAGTGTTCATAGCCTCGTTGATACGCATTGGCACTCCGTTAAGGAGGTCCATATCACAAGATTGATGTTGAAAGATGTGTTCATAGTACCTTAAAATTTCGTCGTGCATTTCCTGACCCTCCACTCAGGAGCCCGTGATATCACGTACCCGTTGGAGAGTGTTATTACGTTTTCTGGTCGTAGCTGTAGCATGAAAGAATTTGGTATTTCGATCACCTTTATCCAGCCACAGTTGTTTGGATCGTTGTCGCCAATACACCTCTTCCTGCGCATAGAGATCACGAATTTCACTCTCAACAGCCCTGTAACGCACCAAATCATTCTCCTGATGTCTGCCCCTCAGGTTCTCGAGAAGCCGTAACAAATCTCGAAGCTTGCGACCAAAGCGTCTCGCGTATTCCCCTCCCCATTGCTGCAACGCTTCGCCACATCTCATCACCTTTTGTTGGAACGAGTCCCCATATTGGCGACTCCACGATGCCTCCACAATCTGCTTACAATTGGGGTCCAATGTCCAAGCCGACTCAAATCGAAATCCCCGATTTCGCCTCTCAACTCGGCTGCCTTCTATCACCAGATGTAGCGCACTATGATCAGAAGTCACCGCTGGTAGATTATGAACAGTTGCCCCCGTGTATAATTCACACCACTCCCCCGAAGCCACCGCTCTGTCCAACCTCTCTTCAACCCAACGATGTGTTCCCCGTCCGCGTTCCCATGTGTACTCGTAGCCCACCATCCCCAAATCTGATAAACCACAATCCAGAAGTGTCTCGTTAAATCCCCGGATCAAAGAGTCCGGATGCGGATTCACACCCCTTTTTTCCGCATGACTCGCAATATCGTTAAAGTCGCCGATCACGATCCATGGCAGATCGGATTGGGCCTTCAACTCCCGCAGCAGGTTCCACACGTCTTGCCTCCTCGATCGCTCCGGGAATCCATAGAAGCATGTGAGTCGCCATGCCGGTTTGCCCGGTAACGTCACCCTCATATTGATGTGATTCCCTGAGTAATCCATTAGAGATGCCATACCCGCCACTTTCCACATCAAAACCAAACCACCACCAATCCCCACCCTGTCCACCGTAAAACAGCCTTCAAATCCTAACCGTACTCGTACTCTTTCTACCTGACTCGCAATAGCCTTTGTCTCCATGAGGAAGACAAACTCGGGTCGCTGTCGGGCCACATAGCCCAACAATTCGCAAACTGTCCGGGTGCCACCCAATCCCCGGCAGTTCCAGCTGAGAAGACTCATTGATCCGGGCGAGCCTGGATCACCAGACCCGCCACTTCCAAGTTTTTTGATGATTCCACCATGCGAACATCTTCGTCTTGCATACTGCTACTATTGACAGTCTCCTCCCGTATTCTCTTGAGATCTCCATGCACACCATCCTGTTCCTCCATGTTCACCAGAGTAGTCGGGGGTGTCCCGGCCAAAGAAGTGGAGGGCGCTGCTGTCGACGACGAGTGAGGTGATAACAACCATCGAGTCCCCACCGGCCTCACTTGGCGTCGAGGTCCTGCCCGCATCCAAGCGCCGAACGGAAAAACATCTGGCAGAAGGTTCAGCTCGTAGACAGTTTTACAGAATTTGTCAGAGTGCCCTAAGATCCCGCAACAATAGACGCTCATATCGGAATGTGATCCATTGGGAGGTCCCATCTCTGTGAAGCAGCTTCATGCGTCTTTTCAGCGGGGATGACACATTCAGGCGCACCCTGATTCTGAAGTAACTCCTCCACGCTCCTCCGAAATTGAGTGGATCCGCCGCGATGAACGTCCCCACATAATCCCCGATTTTAGCTACAAGCATAAAACAAAAGAATGATAACAACTGCTAAATTTTATGATTATTCTCTTTTAAGCTTAGTGTCTCGCCAGCAACAACCCTATTTTAGCCATGTCTCTTCTTTTTTCCCTTTGTTTTATATGAGATGAAATAGTTTTGTAAGGAAAAATAATTTGAACTATCGAATAGTCGAATTTCATTTATTCTAATATGGCAAAAATTTTGTGAAGATTTATAATTTATCTATTGTGTTTCATTTCTCTTACTCCTTCAAAATCATACTCAAAATTCACAACTTAATGACCATAAATTCATATTATTAATCCCAATTACACCAAATTTTACTAGTGAGGTGAATTGTTATGCATTTTTAGCACTACATTGTGAAGTTCAAGTGCAATTTGGGGAGAGAAAGAGTAATAGAAGGTGAGTCCTAAATTCCTAATTAACCAGAGTTTTTTTTTTTTAAAAAAATAAATTAAAAACAATAATAAATTTTAACAGTGTTGTAATGAAAGGACTGAAAACATCACTAAAAACAGTGACACATATAATTCAAAGACTAAATTTGTTACTACTATTTGTGTATGTCTCATATGTTACTAGAATATGACATGTATTAGAGCGTAACGTAATGAAACGAAATGGAATGGAGCAATAGCACCTATGTATGTGGTTCGAACCTGAGTTGGGTCCGTTAAGTGGGTCGGAGGTAAATCTCCCACCATTAATATATTAATATATATAACCTTATAAACTTTAAGTCCTCACTTATATAAAAATATCTACAATGATAATGGACACTAGTGACTCAAAGTCAAGTGTGAGGACAATGACTTTTAAGTTTTAACGTGTTACAATTGAAGACTAAAATTGCATTTTCCCTAAGCATATTTGGTTAGATCATGGAATAAAATTCAAAATCCACAAGCTAATGGGACAGAGATCAGAGCTGCTTAAACACTAGTGTAAGAAAAGGGTATCACATACATTATATTATTATGATAACAAAGAGGATTTATTAGTAGGATACATGCATAGCAAACCACCATTAAAGCAAGCAAACAGGCAATTAACAGAATTGAAATTTTACTCAAATGCCCAAGCATTCTCCCTAGGGATCTCCTCTTCTTCTTCCTCTGGTGTGAAGGCAGTTTGGATATTGAGAACTTTGCTCATCTCCTCTGGTGTCTTCCCCGTGATCATATCAGCAATAGTTTGACAGATAAGATCAAGCAAGCTATTGATGTTGAGGAAATTAGCAGCCTCGACGAGATCAAACAAAATTGTTTGGTCAACTTCGACGAAATTAGCATCGAAGGCCTTGAGATTGTCGGAATCAATGGTCCCCTTGGCGGCCTCGGCGTGGCATTTGCAGTAGTCTATAACCATGTCTAAGATCTTGCTAGTTACCATAGGGACGGGGATGGTAATAGTGATGTCATCGTTATCCACAATCATGTACTTGAGTACCTGCGACTCAAGCGCCACCTCCTCATCCACCTTGAAGATCTCTCCGTCGGAACTCTTCAAAATGATCATCTTTGAGGAAGACATCGGAACTTAGTAGGATGAAATTTGGGAAAAAACCAAAGGGAATTTAACAAAGCAAAAAGAGCAAAGAAATCTATTATTCTCTTCCATTGTGATGTGTGAATTGGGTTTCTATAGACGACTGAGTCAAGTCCATGAGGGGAGGACGATGTGCCACATGTTGTCTGTGTCGTCTATAGAAACCCAATTCACACAATAGAAGAGAATAATAGTAAGTATATATTAATCATCACCAGGATTATGTGGTTTAATGGTACCTGGTTTGGATTTCTATTTGGAAGGTTGTGAGTTCAAACCTCAGTATATGAACAGATACTATAATGTAATAGAGTCAGTAACATTCAAAAAATATATTACCCATCCTTTTATTACAATGTAATGGGAACCATCCTTTTATTCCATCCCCCTCATTTTATGTGGGAGATACTACAATGTAATAGAGTCAGTAACATTGAAGTTATTTTTAATTCAATTAAATGGGTTGAAACAAAATAACAAAAAAAAATATAAAAGGACAAAAATACTCTTACTAAAAACAAAAACAAAAAAAAAATTATGAAAAAGACTAAAGTGACAAAAAAATAACTCTCTAGAATGTTAAATTTGAAATTACACAAAAAACAAAGAACCTTTAATAGAATTAACTCTAAATTTTAAGTTAAAATGATCGGTCCGCTAATCGTCTTGCTGTCAACTAGGCATTTGAGAAAATCATTCAACGTATCCAATTTCTTCTTCCTCTCCAACCAATCAACATATCTCTTCTTCCAATCGTTATACCCTACACCACGGCGCGCGTAGCACTGTGCGCCGCACGCTTCCCAAAACGACGTCGTTTTCGGGTCGTTTTGGAAGGCGCGGTAGGAAGTTGCTGTGATTATGTATATTTGTTCACACAATTATGTATATTTGTTCACACAATTATGTATATTTGTTCATACAATTATGTATATTTGTTCATAGGGTTATGTACATTTTTTATACAATTATGTACATCCGAATCAGAAAATTTGTGTGTATTATGTTAAGAGTTGATGTGTATTATGTTAAAAGTTTATGTTTATTATGTATTATGTTAGATTATGTGTATTATCTTTTAAAAAGAGTATGTATATTTTGTTATATAATTATGTACATTTATGTATACAATTATGTGTATTCTAGTATAAAATTATGTACATTTTTGAACAGAGATTTTTTTTTAAAGAAAACTTAACTGCCATACACTAGGGCGGGAAATTTAAAAAAAAAAAAAATTAAAACGACGTCATTTTGCATCTGGACGCACAGTGCAACGCGCGCCGTGGTGTAGGATATAAATTGCCCTCTTCTTCTCTCCCAAAGGACGTATCCAATTTCTTCTTCCTCTCCAACCAAAATCATTCAACGTATCCAATTTCTTCTTCATCTTCAACGTATCCAATCAACATATCTCTACTTTTCTCCCAAAAGGTTGAATCCCCAAGGCCTGGCAGAGCCATCACGGTGATTCAATGGTTCAACGGACAGAGCCAAATGTCGGTGTGTACAAGGAATCTACCCATTTTAAACATAATTTCCACACTGCCGCTGTTGAAGTTCAAACATTGGTCTCTTCTCACAAATACTGCTCACTTAACCATTAGCTAAACCCGTGCGGACTCAATCAACATATCTCACTTGTGGCATTGAATTATTGTAGTGGTAGTGGCCTAGCATTTGGTTATTACGTAGAAGTGTGGAACAAAGTTCATATATATATGTAACAAGATTAAATTCTAATATATGTTTATTTTTAATATAAAACAAACTCATTTTTAGTGTACTAAATATAAATTTATTTTGGTTTATAATGCACTAAAAATAAATCTAAAGTACATCGGGGGTTTGTTTGGAAACGCTGAAAAAGTATTTTGGAAAATGATTTTCGTAAACTAATTCATTTTATAATATTTGACTGAAAGTTAAAACAAAAAAAATATTTTTTTTGGCAAAAAATTAACAAATTGTATTTTTTTTTTTAAATATTTGGTTCATTTTAAAAAACATGAACATAAATCTATTACAAAGTTATTCTTTATATAATAATAATAACAACAACAACAACAACAACAACAACAACAACAACAACAACAATAATAATAATAATAATAATAATAATAATAATAATAATAATAATAATAATAATAAGTAAATCCATGTCACGGGTATCTCCTTTAAATTTTTTATTTGATTTCTTTTTTGTTTGTTCTCTACATTGCACTTTTGTTGTTTGTCGCAATTGTTCTTTACCTCATAATTATATCTAACTTGAGTTATATTTACAATATTCAGTATTTTCCTTAATTTCATGTTTCTATAAATTTAATGTGCTTTACAGTCATTCTAATTTTGATTTCCAGTGCACTAGAATTATTTTTTAGTACTAGAATATATTTCGAGTGCACTAGCAATGACAGATTGTGTCCAAAAATTAACTATATAGTACTTGACACTTGTTCTTCTAATATCCACTATACAGATAGATGATTATTCATCTTGTCAGTAAGAATATTCCAAGTGAACCAACTGAAGAGTCGGTTGTGCAAAAAAGTTAACTGATGCTTGGTAATTAGTACTTAGTATTGTGTTTTGAACTTTGGATTGCTATTTTGTTATATAATGTTTAGAGTTTGGATTTGGATGATGTGATTATGTGAATATGTATTGTTTCGTAGTATGTTCGAAAAATTAAAAAAATTTTGAAATTTGGGGATCTTAAACCAAACTGAATTAAATCCTAGCCGAAACCGAACCGTTTTAAACCGAACCGAACTCTTATGTTAAATCGAATGGTTTAACTTTTTTAAAACCGAAAAACTGAAACCGAAACGCCCACTCTTAGCTAGGAGGCAATAAAACCATACGACTTGTGGATGCAAGCAAGTGACTAGCTGAAGAAACCAATTGTCACGACGGGGAGAAACATTGAAGTCAGAAAGTCAGGAAAACGACGTGGATATATCATAAGGTTGTCCTCAACCCGGCCATCATCTCCATTTACTAAATGATGTGGAAATAAAAAATTAATTTTCTTTTTTCTTGCTTGTCAACGTGGATAGCAAATTTGTTAAGGCTGCTTTTACTGTCAAAATAGTAGCAAAAGCTGCCGTCAGCAGTATTTTTTAATTCTTATTATTTTTTATTAATATTTTATTATTATCTAATCTAACTCTATAATAAAGCAAGAAGTTTTGCCAATCATTAGTTCCCGCCCAATGAAAACGACGCAGTTTTGGTATAGCTAACGATCTGGACTTAATTCCTTTTTTACTGTGCGCGTGTAATGAAAATTCGTATTGGGAAATACCTAGCCGTTCTTATTATTACACAGTCCTTGGTTCCCAAGGAGTTCAATTAATGTAGAACTCTTTGGTATTGTAACCAAGATCACTACTATTAATATCTACAAATCCTAATGAACTGCTACGGCATACAAGAAACAATTAAATAGAGATTACAAACATTACATACATACCTAGATACATAGAATATGCAGAGTTGGTATATTCAAATTTACATTAATTGAGATGTGCGATTTCCCAAACTTAGAATGCCGGTATCTCCTTATTTTTGAATCTTCAGTATGTATAAATACCGGCCTTCTTCATGGCAGTACACTTCAGAAAGTTATCACAGTTTACAGCCTTTTAGAAACCAATCTTTGCTGTTTCAACATGCCTTCCATGTTCCTTGCCGTGAGAAACATCAAGCCGGAACACCAGCAAAGGGCAATACGAGTAATTTTAGCTATTTTCACATATAATTTTAGCTACTGTGTTTTCCTATCTATAATCTTCTCATATAATGTTCTTTTAATTAAGCTTCTATAACTGTTTTGCTGTGTACATTTTGTTTACTATTGTATTCGCAGGGAGACTACATTCATGCGAGTATCATCAAGAAAGACATTGTCAAGTATAAAGATATAATCAAGGAAGGGAAAATTTATGAAATAAAGAACTTCATGGCCTCTACAAACTACTATGTGTACAAGATTACAGAGCATGGTTTCCTGCTGAAATTTAACTACAGAACACAAGTCAAGGAAATACATTCTACTGGCTTTCCTTGCAAAATGTTTAGATTAAAGAGTTTTGTGGCTTTGAAAGATCCTGAGGATGTCAATGACAAGGAGCTGATTGGTACTAAATTTACATTTCCAAACTGCTAATATCTTCTTTATTATACTTTTAATATAATACTGCTAATATTTTGTTCGTTTTGCAGATGTTATTGGAAGGGTAACTGAGATTTACAATCCTGTTGACAAGATTGTGGGGGGAAAGGCTACCAAACTAATAGACTTCCAACTTGAAGACAATGCGTAAGTTTATTAAAATAAATTTGATTACCTTATAAATTCATGCAATTTTTTTTTAATAGTTTTGGTTTTTTTCTGTTTCTAATGTAGTGATAACACCATCATGTGTACACTGTGGAATGAACATGTTTCTTCCCTGATGCCTTTTTACAATAGTGATTCTAAAGAACCACTGATTGTTGTAATTCAATGCTGTAGGGCCAAAGTTGTGGGTGGTGAGTTTTTATACTGTTTTTTCTTCTAATCTATATATTCAAATACTGTATTTTATATCATAATATATATCATAATATACCTCTAAAAATACACTTCTCTATTTTATGCATTTTTTTTAGGTGAAGTGAGAATAACCAGTTCCTATGATGCTACGAAGCTGTGGTTTAATGAGGATTGGGAAGAGTTTAAAGAGTTTAGGTCAAAGTAAGTTCCATCTTTTATATTTCTCCTATTTTTTAGTTTTCTGCTAATTGTCTTGCTATCTTTATTAATGTGTGCTATACTTTGTATTTCTGAATTAACACAATCCATATATTTCATTTTATCATCTGAATAATGGAGAAAAAAAAATATACTGTGTATATATACTTAAATACCATGCTGTACAGTGTACTCAAATATATTTGAGTACACTGAACTGCATATCTAAATAAAAGATAGATAGTTTAAATGTTGTCTACTCTATTTTTGTAAGTTGTTTTAGACACATCTAACTAAGTTTCTAATGTTTTGAAGCATGAAAGCTCAGGGTACTCCAATGCGGAGTCTCAGTACTGGCACACTGCATTCCAACTCTATAGGCATTAGTGATTTTCATAATGCTTCTGTTATTGTGACTAACTGCCATGACATTAAGAAGGTGAAAGAGGTAATCCACATACTAAGCTATCAATCTTTTCTGTAGTTTGATGGGACTGAAATTATTAACTGTTATATATACTTACGAAATTGTTTGAATACTATAGGATGGGGACTATTATGTTGCTGCTGAGATTCTCGGGTTAGATTTTGAGGATGGTTGGTACTACTTATCATGCCTGAAACTTGGATGTAATAAGAAGCTTAAAGAACAGGAAGGGACACTTTTCTGTACTAAGTGTAAGAAGAATTGTATGATGGGTCAAGTTAGGTACAAAGTTGTTGTTATTGCTCTTGACAAGTTTGGAGATGCTCCAATGTTGCTTTGGGATAGGGAAGTTACAGAGCTTGTGGGTATTCCTGCCTCTATTTTGTATGCAAAATACAAGGAGGTAAATTCTTATTACCTAATGTCTGCATTTTTTGGCCTAAACTGTTTACATTATCTGTTCTTAACTTGGTTATTTGTTCACTATCTAAACAGCTTGATGTTGAAGTGCCCCCTGAATTGGATGCTATAGTTGGTATGAAGATGCTGTTTAAGATCAACTTCAAACTTGCCCAAAAGATGGGTCCCAATTACCCATTCAATGTTGTTAGGGTTGTAAGGGATGAGCACTTGCTTAAGACGTATGCTGACAGACTTGTGGAGCATGAAGAGCAAGACTTAATGTCAAGGATGATTGATGAGGAAACTAACACTGATGCAGTTTCTGGAGTAAGAATTTCTAACACTAAATTTTGAGATTTTTTATTTTTTTGGTTACTAATAGTGTTGTCTACTTTTCTTTCTAATAGGAAGATTCGATTGGGGTTGAAGTGAACAGTCCTGCGACTGTCGAGCCCTCGCAAAAGGAAGGAGAAGACAATGCAGAAAATGTTGGTGCTATTAAAAGGTCACTTTTGGATGAGTTTTCATCATCCAAAAGTAGGAAGAAGTTGAATGACTCAGAAATCAAAAAGGAAAAAATGTAATTGAGATTGATGGTTGAAAGAGATTGTTGATAGCCGGACACTATCCAGACATTTTTTTTTTTGTTTTTCCTAATACTGTGGTGTGACAATTTTTTATTTTCAGTTTTATGGATGGTTTATAACTTTTATCTAATGCTTTTAGTAATTTCCTAACTGTTTAGTACAATAAATTGGTGTATGTACTGCTATTCGAACCTGTTTTGGAGTTTTTCTATTTTTCCTTTCAGGTTTTTCAGAAAAAGGATGAAAGGTGTCCAAGTTGCAGCAAAGATGTTAGGGTTTAGGGTTTTAGAAGGCAAACAGGATGGAAATACTTTGGTAAGCAATTTAGAGTTTGAAGTTGTGTTTTTCATATGTTCCTATTGCCAACTCTAAGACTTTATATCTAAATATGTTGTGCCTGTTTTGCAGCAAACATGCTAGGTGGCCAAGTTTTTAGAAGGCAAACAGGATTGAAATAGTTTGGCAAGCAAAGTCGGTTTTAGGGGTCCACAGGATGTAAATAGTTTGCCAAGCAATTTAGACTTTGAAGTTGTGTTCTTTGTATGTTCTTATTCCCAATTCTAAGACTTTATATCTAAAATATAAAGTGCGTATAAAATAGATTTTGTTTCAATTACCTATTTGCACAATCAGCTTGACTGTGTATGCAATTCTAAAACTTTACATGTAAATGTACTGTTCTTAAAAAAGGGTGTTAGTTGCAATTACCTATTTGCACAATCTTCCTTTACTCCGTTTGCAGCTATCCAAACAACTGCTCTTCAAGCTGGAATCCATCAATGTGTTCTAGCACATTTAAATAGATATCAGATAAAAGCAACTAAAAGAAGAATTTTGTCAAGTCATTTAGGTCATGTAAAAAAAGGGTGTTAGTTCCAATTACCTATTTGCACAATCTTCCTTTACTCTGTTTGCATCTATCCAAACAACTGATGTTCAAGCTGGAATCCATCAATGTTTTCTACCACATTTAGAAAGAAATCAGATAAAAGCAACTAAAAGAAGAATTTTGTAAGTCATTTACATTACTGTTTTATGTAGATATAAAACAAACATTCTACTTTAAACGGAAAAATGTTTTTATCCTACACAAATCTGACTTTTATAGTAATATAAAATCCAATAATTTAAAAAAGCCCAGATGTCAAATACAATAGAAATACAAATTGATTAACACTGTCAATACTTGAGGACCATTTGTGACACAAAGACATTTTTCAACGTGTCTATTATTAATAAAATAAATTTGTTTCTGCCAATAAAAAACAATTAAATAATCTCCTTATACATAGAAGAACATTATACCAGTTTTAAGCAAATAGTAAAAAAAAAAAAAGGAATTTATATTACTGTTTTGACAAAAAAAAATGAGAATCTGCTTTTAAAATCACTTATAGATGAACCAAGTCTAAAATACTGCATCAAAAACAAGATGTCAAAGACAATACAATTATTAATAAAATAAAGGAATTTGGTCGATAGTCGAGCACCATTTCCCGAACAAGGACATTTTACTGAATGTGTCTAATATTTACAAAATAAAGTTAGTGCTTGCAATATAACACAGTGAAAGAATATTATGATATATACAGAATAGTTATACCAGTTTTGACCAAAGAGAAAAAAAAAAAGCTATTACCATTACTTTGCTAACATTACTCAATTCTATACTTATATAGAACCAAACAATGCACCCAAATTAAAGGCCAGTGATGGAACAATATTGCCTTACAAATTAAAGTGAACAAACTTACAAACTATGCAAGTATATCCATACAAACTAATCTAACTACAGCCAAGTAGAGAGGAAGTCTTAACCTATTTCGTTGTATGACCCTATTGCTTTTAGTGGTCTTTGATTGATTGTTTTTTTTATGACAGCTGCTCTTCAATTTCTTCAAAGCTTGATGATTTCATTCTAATAAGAATAACAACAAAAAATATTGTTAGAATTTGTGTTCAGGATATTTAATAAGAGGAAAAGCATACACTCGCATAAAGTGAACAAAGTTACAAACTATGCAAGTATATGCATACAAACTAATCTAAAGACAGCCAAATAAAGATAAAGTGTTAACCTATTTGCTTATATGACCATAATGCTTTTAGTGGTCTTTGATTGCTTTTTTCTTTTCTGGGACCCATTCTTCAATGTCTCCATAGCTTGGATTATTCCATTCTTAAAAAAATACCCAAAAAAATTAAAATGGTTAGAATGTGTTCATAATAATCATTAAGTACAATCAAATAATCCATGTATGTGTTCAATGTTCTTAGAACAGTCTTACAAACTGTGCAACTATAACAGTGCAAAGTCATCTAATGTAACACCAATCAAGATATAGTCTTAACTTATTTTATGATGTGGCCGTGGTGATTATTTTCTGCTTGCTGCTCTTCAATTGCTCTAAAAAGAATAAAAAAAAAAGTTAGACTTTCTGTCAAGAATAAATAATACCAACACATACATTGAATAAATTGTCCGGCACATTTAGAAAGAAATTACATAACAGCATTACAATTCAAGATTGGTAAATTAAATAACATTAGTGTGTTAACTAAAAAAAAGAAAATATACTTTTATTTGAAGAATAATGTCAGCCACTGCCATAAGAGAAAAATGAATAGTTCTAGAACCAGTGAGTAATTGGGTGTGTGTTCCATGTTCTTACAAATCAGCTAAAGAAATTGGATCAGTGGGAAATATTGGCCTGTTAAGTATTACTTAATCATTCTTAGGAAAAGAAACACATTTTCTAAACATTAAATACAATTGATGGGCTGCTATCATTACTATTAAGAGAAAACTCTTCAGTTCCAATCCTATTTTCAAAATCCAGGCAAAAGTAAAATAAAGTACAATGAAGCCATATGATCAGCTTTGCCCCATCTAACTACCAACACAGTTCTCCAGTTTCAGACCAAAGGTAAAGACACAAATCACATCTACATTTTCAAGTAAACACAATAGACAGAGCAATGAGCAAAATCACTAAATCAACAATTTTAGGCATCAAAAGGAAACCAAGTGATGAAAATAAAGGTAACTTCGAAACTTATCTTTTTCAGACTTCGAATTAAGCTTCATTGTAGCATCCTCTTCATCTGCGGTTCTGTTTATGCTCTCTATCTCCTCAAAAAATTCCAGTATGTTCATAAAAAACAACATGATAAAGTCGAAAACAGGTTAGGGTTTGTGTGAATAATAATATAGCTATACCATTTTGAAAATAACTGTTAAACAGTTAAGAGTACTTTCTCTTTGGTGTTTTTAGAGCAACATTACAAAAAATACGATTTAGAACCCTAATGGCTATGAAGAGGACAAATCTGAAATCAAAAAAATTCAGCTATGATTGTTGATATGCATGCATAGATCAAGAAACGTAGATCAAATTTAGAACAAACAACAACGAAAAGTAGGAAACCTAAACAAATTTAGTGTAGATTGACAAATTAATAATCTTAGAATTGGAGAATTACCTTCACTGAAACGCGATTGCCACGATTTACCGTTGTTGAACACTAAGATCTTTCACAGAAAGGAAAGATCGAGATTGTGTACTGCTAATCGGATCGATGCTAAGCGAGACCCGACTCCAATTTCGCCGGGAAAAATGTTCAATAAGAACAGTTGAATCGGAGATTAGGACTTAGGACTGATCTAGATTTAGGCTTGACAGAGAAAGATAGTAAGCTCGTAGGGATAGGTGAAGAACAGATCTCTGATTCAGACATGAGAGCAAGGAGAGCTCAAGAGAAGGAAAAGGGTAGGACCCTTCTTCCTCTTCTCTCGAAATTCCGACAGAATAAACAATAATATTGGATATATTATTGTATATATATATATATATATATATATATATATATATATATATATATATATATATGCGGAAAATTATATATATACCGAAAATAATATATTTAAAGAGTTTAAAGATATAAAATAATAAATAAATATATAGATATGTATATAGTTGTTTATTTATTTATTTAATTTTTAATTGTTATGTGTAATTAATTAGATATATAATCTTAACAATTGTAATGGTATTTATTGTGGACAATGTTATACTTAAGATTTTGTCAAATAAAATTAGTGTTACTATATAGCCATTACCATTTCAGGTTATATATATTTCACAATTAGATTATCCGTAAGGTGTGTTTAGTGGCACACCACTAATTTGTAAATAATTGTGCGGTAAATCTTTAACAATTTGAAATTAAGTATGTACTGTTAGTTGTATTATGTGTAATTCATTTTTATGATTTTTAGTTATTTGGATTATTATTAAATTTAATGTTGTATTTTAATTCGCAGAAAATGAATTGGGCAACTCATTATCAAGGAATAATTCTGATCAAGGAAAACAACAGTCTCCGACAAGAAATCCTGCCCGCATTCCTCTTGGAGGGGGTTTGTCTCAAAACATCACACCCTTGAGTAACGTGACTAACGGTAAATCCACTAAGTTCAATTGATATAGCATCGTTGTGAATTTATAAAACCTTTTTATAAGTCTACTTATTATGTAAGTCTTATTTAAAACAATTACAATTTACAATCATAAGCTAGCGTAATGAATAGCATTATGTGTGATTAATTTAAAAAATGTTAACTGTTCTACTTACTGTTGTTTTTATCCTCTTTTAATTTTTTTTTTTCATACAGCAAATAGTTTTTTCAAATCATCATTAATGAATAATGCTGGTCAAGGTAAGGAGCAACATACGCCAAATCATCCTGCCAAAAATCCTTTGGGATGTTGTTTCTCTCCAGATATCACACCATTCAGTACCATCAGTAATGGTAAATCCCAATATATGAATTGATATACATTCATTGTTAATTTAAATATCCTTATATTATTAATTGTTCGAAGCTGTTTGTAAAATTAAATAGTATAATTATAATGTAATTCATGTTTAATATCAATTTGTAATTAATTGATTAGGTGTAATTAATTGATTACATTTTACTTAATCATATATAGTTTTACATTGCTATTGTATTTAAGTTAGAATGTGGATCATTGTGTACATAATTCTATTCGTTTACGTATTAAAGTTGTGCAATTGATTTTTTTTTTTTTTTATGATGTGTATTGAATTGTTTCGAGTTATAATTATTGGAATTAATTCTTAAGTTAATGGTATATTTTAAATCACATCAAATCATTTCGGTTACTCATCTTTTATGAATAATGCTGCTCAAGATCAAGACCAACGTACGACAGCTAATCCTTACACAATTCCCCACCGAGGATGTTTCTCTGAATATATCACACCATCGAGTAACATCACTACCGGTAAATGGCCGGTGTTGAATTGCTATACAATCATTGTGAATTTAATTATAATGTAACTCATGGTACATATAAGTATGTGAGGAATTGTAATCTCACTATTTTTTGCCTTATATATGATTTATTTTTTAAAAATAAATTTTTAATTTTTGTTGAAATAGTTAAATTTGTTTTGATATGTGTAATTAATTAAATAGATTTTAGTTAGTGAGTTACACTCTTTTCTCTTTTATTTCTATTTATTTACAGTGCACATATTATTGTGGACCATGGTCTACCATGTGATTTTTCCACTAAAATATAATAATGTTTTTACAGTTACATTACTATTTCATATTCTAGGTTAGCATAAACTATAATGTTACATGTATTTAATTTATAATAGTAAGAATTCTATCCTTTTTATATATTCATTGTTAATTTAAATATCGTTATACTGTTATTTGTTCGAAGCTTTTTGTAAAATTAAATGGTATAATTATAATGTAATTCATGTTTAATATCAATTTGTAATTAATTGATTAGATGTAATTAATTGATTACATTGTACTTAGTCATATATAGTTTTTGTCGTGCTTGAATTGTATTTAAGTTAGAATGTGGACCATCGTCTACATAATTATATTCAATTACGTATTAAAGTTGTGCAAGTGATTTTTTATTTGGTTATGTGTACTGAATTGTTTCGAGTTATAATTATTGGAATTAGTTCTTAATTTGATGGTATATTTTAAATCACAACAAATCATTTCGGTGGCTCATCTTGTACGAATAATACTGCTCAAGATCAAGACCAACGTACGACAGCTAATCCTTACACAAATCCCCAGCGAGGATGTTTCTCTGAATATATCACACCATTGAGTAACATCACTACCGTAAATGCACTAATCTGAATTGCTATAGACTCACTGTGAATTTAATTATAATGTAACTCATGGTACATATAAGTATGTGTGGATTTTTGGGTGATATATGATTTATTTTGGAATCTCAATTTCTAATTTTTTGTTAAAATAATTTCATTTGTTTTGATATGTGTAATTAATTCCATAGATTCTACTTAGTGAAATACACTTTTTTCTCTTTATTTCTATTAATGTTGAACATATTATTGTGGACCATGGTCTACCATGTGATTTTCCACTAAAATATAATAATACTTATACAGTTAAATTACTATTTCATATTCTAGGTTACCATAAGTTATAATGTTAGTGTATTTAATTTATATTATTAAGAATTCTTTCCTTTTATGTTACTACGTGCTACCAAATTATTTTTTTACAGTACCATAAAATGTAGTGATTTCAATTTTGGTCACTTTAAATATTGTTATTCTTTAAATTGGTCTAATATTATGTATGTGTACAGTACGGCAATCCAATACACAAATAGGAGATGAATTTGCAATTCGTAAACCATTAGATAAATATGCAATTGTCGAAGACCAGGTAACAACCAGAGACTTGCTACCTGCCTTTGAAGATGAAAGTAACAATGCGGTGAGCGATGTCTCAAATCAGAACATAGCTGGTACTAAAATACTACCCTCTGGTGTTTCAAACAAATATAAGTAAAGTACATATGGTCAGTCTTTCAATATTAAAAATAATTTTTAAATGTTTTTTAATTTCAGATGCAAATTTATCGGGTGACGCTGTACGACAGACCTCGGAATTGGGACATCCTCTGGTCCACAAAATGTGTGTATGTTTGTTTGTTTTATATATACATCAAATATAAATCAGTAGTTAAATTTGTATATATTTGGTTTCAGGTCAATACTGCGATTTTGGCGATGCAACAAATCAGTGCGTACATTGTGGGCTATGTTTTGGTTTGAAGAAAGGAAGAAGAATTTGTCAACAAAAGCATCGCCACTGTTTATGTTGTGTTGCAACAATGGGAAGATCAAATTGCCGGATAATAAGTTCCACCAAAAAGGTATATT